GAGAAGATGAGGCTGTTTATATAATGGATGCTAAAACAACTGGAAATATCGGACGTTACTTAAATGTAAGATATATTGAAATTTTTAAAAAAATGTTTTTAAAAATAGTATTTTTATATTTACTATTAATTTAAAATATAATTATTGGTAATTTTTTAGCATTCATGCGATCCAAATGTTTTTGTGCAGAATGTATTTGTTGATACACATGATGTAAGATTTCCATGGGTAGCATTTTTTGCTTTAAATTATATAAGAGCAGGTCAAGAATTAACATGGAATTATAGTTATGATGTTGGAAGTATACCGGGTAAAGTTATCATTTGCAAGTGTGGTGCATCTAATTGTAGAGGTCGACTTTTATAATGTATAATATTTTATATAAAATTAATAAAATTTGATTATGTAATAAATGATTTTGTTTTCTTTTTTCTTAATACTTAATTTGCGATTTTAAATTACATAATATATATAATATATATTTTATTTATTCTCAAAGAAACATTATTTTATTATACGTTTAATGTTATGTTGTTTATTTTATTATTTATTAATAATATTATAAAATAAAATAAGTCTAAAAAAATCTATAGAAAGAAAATATATTATATTGTATTTCAATTTTTTAATATTTATTATTTAAGTTTAATAATTATGATATATTTTATATTGTTAATCAAAATTATAAATTCATTGCATTTATGATTCATTTATTGTAGAATTTTATTCTTTTCTTTGTAGAATTGTATATATAATATATTACTATATTATATAAAATACACGAAAAATAAAAATATTGAATAAAATTTTTGCAATATTTGCATAAATGATGAATTACTAATTCTTACTAATTCTTTTTAGAATGAACAAAATGTAAAAAATGGAATGTATAAATTCAATTATAAAAAAAACATTTATTTATAAAATTTACAACATAAATTGTTTTTATGTTGTTTTTTAATTTATAGCTGATGCATAAAGATAAATTAGTTGAAAAATTTTTATACTGTTTTATAAATAAATTAAATTTTTATAAATTTTGCTATTAAATTTTGATCTATTTTTTTCATGTATTAATAATTGTTATTTGTAATTCTTTAAATATTATTCATTATTTTCGTATATATGTTTAATAGATTTCTTTAATATATATAATAGTAATTTTTTGATAGAATTATTTAAAGAATAGAAATTTGAAGAATCATTAAGTGATGTTTAAATTATTAAATAGTTAACTGATAAATAAGAATTATTTTTTTGAAATTTAAATATTCTATTATATTTTTTGACATATGAAAACATATTTATTTTTAAGATTTTTTAATATTCAATATTAATTATTTTATTAGTTATTAATTATTATATTTTAATAAAAAAATTTCCTAATATATATATATATATATAATATATAAATACTAAAAGTTGTTCATTACAGTATCATTACAGTATTTCC